TATATATGTATGCATGCAGGGGCGTAGCCAGCCTTTCCAAGAGGGCAGATTCCTTCCAAGAGGGGGGATTCCAAACCTACTATATACTAATAAAACTTCCTTAAAATTTTCGTTTCATGCTTTTATATATATACATACTGTATCAGATATGTGCTATTTTGATACAAACCAGAGGGGATTCCGGAATGCCTGGAATCACCCCTGGCTACGCCCCTGGTATGTATATATATAATATAATATTGATTACCCATATCTAGGTATGTACACAACATATTTGTAGCTTGGTAACAGTGTTACAATGACATATATTATTTCATCAGTGGATTGCATAAAAGGTCAATCGAGTAACAGTTCCCACCTATTTATTAAACTACAAATACAATGAGGCATATTAATTATCACAATATGCATATATGACATATATGCCATTTCCATCTATGTACATTGCACTTCACCGACTTCACGATAACATTTATATACTACACACATATATTCTGATTAATTGAATGGCAACTGCACCGCCTAGAGTCAACGACGCACGCACGACCCGTTTCAGCAGGAGCGGCCGCTTACGATTTTTAGTTTTTGGTCGCTCTTCATCGACTGCGGCAGTTTGAGGTTGGCGGAAACCATCATCGACTCCATGACGCTGAGGTGCGGTAACAGGTGGTTGTCCTGCATGATGTAGCATGACATCTTGCGAAAGCTGCGAAGGTCGCGATTTTTCTTGTTGATCATGATGTTGCCACTCACCGACGACGTCCTGCACGGCAAGGGCAGACGGAAAAACGAGCGAATTCGTAAATCGGCGACACTTTGTTGCGCTTGTCGCTGTACTAGTATCTCGTTCTCCCCCTTCGCCTCTCCCCATCACCCTCCCTATCCTTCTCCCTCCCTTCCTCCCCCCTCTATCCGATCCCTCCTTCCATAGGCCCTCTCTCTCTCTCCCTATAGAAAAACGTGTGATTTTGTAAATCTTGAACTTAATCTGTCTCCCTGTCTCTGATCTGTCTCTGTCTCTGTCTCTGTCTCTGTCTCTGTCTCTGTCTCTCTCTCTGTCTCTG